TGAAATTGAAGCACTACTATAAGGAAGCATTAGTTATCAGAACTCAATACTTGGAAGTGAAAACGTATGACTTGCTGGAGTTTTTACTTGCAGCCACCAAATTTTTTAGACTTTCGATAGTCTGACAAAAAAATGCATCGAATAAAAGGTGATCAATACTGATCGGCTATATATTGAAATACAAAAAATTTAAGAAACTATTGTTTTTCGACTAAAAGACAATGTCACCTTGACTTCTTAAAATGGCATCTTGTATTTTTGACATTGTAGGGTTATTGCTGACGAAAAAACGAATTCAATGACCTACTATACTATGATGAGACCTACTATAGATGACCTTGACTTCAGCAATTTAGGGTTGAACAACAAAAAAGCGTCGATATCGAAATCTATTTTATTTCATTTTTTCATCAACAATAACCCTACGAAATCGAAAACATAAGGTGTCATTTAGAAAAGTCAAGGTGACCTTGACTTTTAGTCGAGAAACAATAGTTTTTGAAATTTGTTATATTTCGATATACAATGTAGCCGACTAAATACTGATTAACTTTCGTTCGAAACATTTCTTTGTCGGACTGTCGAATGTGCTTGAAAAATCTTGACGACAGTTACGTGTCACACTCTGTATATGACAGAGTACTCGCAGAACTCGATTACGATATAACATAGAACAGTTGTCCCAGATTTATGCGTTACTTCTAGGTTTTCGTTTAAGTGAGGGCATTCAGGCAAAAAAAGACAGCTACTAGAAATTTTTTAGGCTAATTCGAATTTCGTGCAAATTACTTTGCCAACTAATATTTTTTTTGATAGCAAATAAATTTTGTTTTATAATGAACGAATTTTTTTATAACAAGAAATCGGATTGAAGAATCCGTGGACAATTCTTTTCGACATCATGTTCACAAATTGCAGTAAAAAATTTTAGCACGAAAACTTTATTATTATTGTTATTAGAGTTATGTCAAGTTTAGTGATAATTATTGGCACTTCGGCCGTCTATTACAAAGCTGGACAAAATTTTATTAAAATGTCGGGTAAGAGATAAAAACTAACGAATAAAATTGTATTCGACACTACCGAATAAATATAGATATATAAATTAAATATAATATATTTATATTATATATAATATATAATATAAAAATTTATCCAAATGAATTCTGTTTAGTCGAATATTTTTATTCGTATAATGCTTATTTGTTATTATTTACCATAAACGATTCGCATAATTCTTCTAAAATTATTCGAATAATATTGCGAATAATTATTGACGATTTTTGTTTTTACGTAATTTTACATGAATATATTTATACGAATACATTCTAGATCGGTTTAATTTCATCTACATATAGAATTGTAAAATTTCCATAAGTTTATTTAGTTATGCATCACAATGATTAATTTACGCAAAAGTAACAAACAACACAGAAGCAACATTTGAGAAAAGGAATATGGAAGAAATAAATCGAAGAACTGTGAAAAAAACATTTTATATTGCATCATTTTCATGCAAATCGTTCATTTTCCGTATGAATTGTTATTCGAACAAGATCTTATTCGGATAAATTTTTATCTTTTAAATTATTAAAAATTTTATCTAGGTAAATTATTCCAATAAAATTGTATTCGTTAGTCTTTATCTCTCATCCGTCATCCAAATAAAATTTTACCCAACTCCGATTGTAACGCCAATAATTATTATTAAAGTTGAAACAACACGAACAATAATAAAACATCTCAGCTCAAATTTACACTGCAGTCTGTGTACACGATGTTGAAAAGAATTCGGTACGGATCTCTCAAATCGATTTTCGTTTTCATAAAAGAACAATTTTTTGTATTGTCAGATAAATTAATTGGCAGAATAATTTCAACATAATTCGAGTCAGCGTGAAAAATGCTATGAAAATGCATATATTCAAAATTTTATCTGTGAAACTACTGGTAGTTGATCTCTGTCTGAATGCCGTCCCTTAACAAGATTTCGCTATAACACGGGACGGATTACCCTGATTCGTATTAGTTCTAGGTTTCTTTTAAGACGGTTTAGATACAACACAGAACGACTTAACCGCATTATACGAGGATCGACTGTATAAACAATCGCAGATGTATTTCATACTGTACAACGACCTATATCGTTGCAAATTACATTATATCGTTGCAATTACATTATACATAATATACATATATCTATATATATATAGATAAAAGTTAATCTGAATAAGAATTTATTCGGATCAAAATTTATTTGTTATTCGAATAAGAATTTATTTGGATAATAATCGATCTTTGAATAAAAATTATAGAATATGGTGTTTTCCCATAGTTTATTGATTCAAGTATTCTATGTTAATTTTTATAATCAATTTTTCTTTATATCTCTCTTTATATATATATATTTATTTATTTATTATTATTATTATTATTATAAAAATTTATATATAAAAAAGCCGCAAGGTGGATAAGAGATAAAGATTAACAAACAAAGTTTTATTCGACATCATCGAATATTATAATTATTATATATATATAATATTATATATAATGTATAATATAATTATAATATAATATAATATAATATAATATAATATAATATAATATTATAATTATTATATATATATTACTTACACTTTTAAATTAACATTGCAGACGACACGAGTGGACAGTCGAACCACCAAATCGAAAAGACCGGTGCCAACAGCATCGCTGAACGAGAATGATGGTAACAAGAAAATCTTGTAATTTTAAATTCTCAATCGGAGAATTGTTTAATAAATCTTCGTCGATGACAGACGATCAGAAGAACGCCAATGGGAGGAGGATCGTTCCAGTGGCTCTCGATCTACAGGTAGATCAAACGGAATTGTTGGTGTTAAACATGGACGACTTGAAGGACGTGGAGAACATCCAGGACGCCATGTCGGTGATCGGGTACGAGCCGCAGAAGGTGAACACGAAGAGGAAACGAAAGATCGAGACTGGTTCTGGTGAATATATTTCGTAAACGTCGTTCGAACCGAACGAAACGATCCCAGCATTTTTCAGGCTTTGCGAATTTTTCACAAATTTGAATACAGTAATTACTTCCTAATTCGTGCTCAGATTGTGCACAAAAGTGGGCAATTTGGGGATATATATGTATAAACGATATATATAAAAAATAATATATAAAAATACAACATATATTGTGTTATATATATAATAAAAATAAATAAATAAATAAATATATATATTATTGTTATATATACATTTTTATATATTATATATATTATATATATTTATTATTATTATATATTTAAAATATATTTCAAATATATATAAAAAAAGCCGCAAGGTGAATAAGAAATAATGATTAACGAACAAAATTTTATTCGACATCATCGAATAAAAATTTATCTAGATAAAAATTTATCTGAATAAGAATTTATTCGAATCAAAATTCATATTTG